CAGGTGCCAACTGGGGCGGAGGAAACCCTCCCCAGGCCCCAAAGGAGCCCAGCCGACCACCTGTCCCCTCACCCCCGTGGGAGGCGGCAGGTCAGGTCGGGCTCATGCTCTGCCCACATCTGTGCACTTCCAGGCACCCAGAAGCACCCGTTACATCTTGGTGAGATAAATGACCGAGGGCCTTTGAAACCTTCCTGGGGAGAAAAAAGCTTAATTCCAAAGGAGAAAAGAGAGCAGATGTCCACCTCGAAGTGTGCACTCCTCTAACTACTGGAGTGCGGCCCCATCGCCACCACCCACCCGGGGTCTCCTTGACCCCGGCCCCTGTCTGCTGCTGCCCTTTGCCCCACCCGCCCCCGTCCCGGGCTGTCTCTGCCGGAGGGCTCCAGGGCTTCTGAAGGGGCGCGTCACAGGGTGGGAGCTGCCAGGGGCCGGGGACAGCTGTGCACCAGCCATGCCGCCCCACTAGATGCCAGTGATTTCCTCAATTACTGTCACGTCTGAACGACACCCTAACGTCATACAGTTTATATTATCTCTGTGTGGCGACACCCAGCTGCCGGCTGCACCCACCACCTCCCATCGCCCCGTCCCACGACCCAGAACCAGGCACAGCCTCCCAGCTCATGCCAGCAGGGCCCTTACTCGGCTGGGCCCCCTTCCCTGGCCAAGCACACGCCGTCTGCCCACTCCATTTTAGGCCCCGCCTCCCCCAGGTGGCCCTTTCTACTTCCAGCAGCTCCACGTCCAGCCTCCACCCAGGGCCGCCCCCCCCCGCCACGTCGATCTCTGGGGCCCCATGTGTCCCTGGAAGGGAACAGTCTTGGGGCAGAGACCCGGACAAAGTCCAGTCAGCTTCCCCACCAGGAAGAGCGTCCGGTCACCTCCTCTGTGTTCCTTGCCTTCTCTCTGCTGGACCTGTCAGAGGTAGATAAGGAAGCCGCACAGGAGGGGATGGAGAAGAGAAGAAAGCCAGCAATGGCAGCAGTCCCAGGTGTGTAGACTCCTGTGGACCCCTCTCACCACCGTCCTGTTTTAAAGCTTGTGTTGACTCTGCTCTGGGCGGGGAAGGGGCTGAGAGTCCCGAATTCAGGGCCAGGGCATGTGCCTGGACCTCCCAGCAGCAGCCCTGCTCTCGGGACCAGAGACAGGATGTGGGCCTGCCTGGCAGCCCACTCCTGTCCTCCCAGCCGTCCAGCCAGAGCAAAAGGGGCCTGGGTCTCCCTGGGAGGAATAGTGGTTTCTAGGAACCTGGCAGTTAGCTATCTGTGTGAACCTGAGTTTGACAGAATCTAGCCAGGACAGCTTACTTACGGTCATCAATCTCAAAGTGATGCTGGTTTCATCCGAGAATCTCAGGACAGGCAGTCCTCACTAGGATTCAAGATGAGACCCACTGAAGGGAGCTTGGGATTCTGGAACCTTCACGTTCTCCCTCCTCCTTCCACATTCCTGAGCCTTGCCTTCCCCACTGCTCAGTCCCACCCCCAAAGCTGACCCTGTGCGTCTGGCCTCCCTAGAAGGGGATGGACCAGCTCCAGCAACCGTGGCAGTCGCTGGAACTCACTGGGCTTCCTACAGGTGCAGGCCCTTCACTTGTGTCATTCCTACCATAACCCACAGGTCGCCGTGTCATAGGGGGAAACTGGGGCACAGAGAGGTGCGGTTATCTGCTCAAGGTCACCCAGCCAGTAAGTGGCAGAGGGAGGACTCGAACCCAGACACCTGCCTCTGCGGGTCACACCCTTAACCACCACACTGCCTCTTCCAACTCGGAACAGCTCCAGGGGTGGAGTGAGTCAGGGCACAGATAATCCAAGAGAGGAAAATCCAAGGTTCTCATGCAGGTGAAATGCATAGTGGGTGCTGGGGCAGCAGCGTCCTTTCCTAATCACGTTGTACTGAACCTAGGATCGATTTGGCCCCCGTCTCTTCTGCCGTGGCAGCCAGTGAGCAGAGGGTCGGCGCCCTCCGGAGAAGGGATTATTCCCAGCGGGGCGCTTGCCTTTCAGCCCAGGGGGACACGCACGAGACCTCCTGAGGCTGGGGACCCACTTACCCTGCAGGGTTAGAGATGGTGAGAGAAAGTCTTCCCCCAAAACGCCGTCCGCCCCTGCGTGGGCAGCCCTGCCTGGCTCTGAGGATCTGGACATTGAGAGGTTTGGTTCACCACTTCAGGGAGAGCCCAGAGCCCCTTTCACTATCCCTGACTTCTACCAGAGAAAGAACGAGCGACAGGTATGACCTAGAGGTCAGCCTGATTTCGAGAAAACAAGTCTATGATTGTTTTCCCATTCTATTTCCTCCATCATACTCCCCAAACCCATGTCACCCGTGGTTTCCAGCAGTCGAGGAGATGGGTGACAACAGGTGTGTGTGCGAGTGTGTGTGTGTGTGTGTGTGTGTGTGTGACGGAGAGAGAGGACACAGCTCTTGCACTGACAACAGGGGGCAACCTTCCTCCTGGGCCCTGCCCACTTGGGGAATTGGCCAGGTGTGTCCCTTGGCAACCTGTCGAGCCCCCTGGAGGGTGTCAGCGTGTTTCTGGGATGGGTGTGGACGGCTGGGAGGAGGCGCTGACAGCTGGATCTGAAACTGTGTTCATGGTCCAGCTTGGAGGGTTGACGGGGCAGGAAGGGGGTGGACAGGGCAGGGGGAAGCTGCCTCTTAAAGGGACCCTGTCACCCCCCACACCGTGGACCGTGTGTAAACCTCCTCTGGGCGGGAATTGGTGGGGCTCTGCGGCCAGTGGAGGCCTTGGCCCCGGGCCCACAGGACAGAGGGGCCAACCAAACGCGCCAGCAGCACAGCCGGTGGAGGGCAAGGGGGCGGGTGAGGCCAGGCAACCCCTCGGAAGCCGCCGGCCGCAGAGCACTGGGGCGGGCCTGCCCGTCCTGTGCACGAACACAGAGGAGCGCAAGAGTGGGGATGACAGGCGATGCATGGGGTGGGTGAGGGTTGCAGGGTCCCTGGGGGCCAGGCTCTTTCCGGAGCTCGCCAGCTGTTAACCTCTCGTCTGCCTCGCCTCTGCCTGCCTTCTCCCTTTCTGTCTCTCCCCTCATCCGCTCTGTGGACCAAGGCCAACTCACCCATCTGTTCCAGGTCCCTGTGGTGAACGAACAGATACCAGCCCCTCCCCTCTCCTTGAGCGCCGAGACACCCCCCGACCTCTCTCCTCCTCTCACCCCCCAGACCCGAATAACGATTTGCCACTGCGTTTTCTAGGCTGGATGCTGGGCGTCCTGGACTCTCCTCTGGTTCCTGCTTCCCTCCTTTCTCTTCCTGGGTACCCCCTCCCCTTCCCTCCCGAAACAGCTCTACCCACAAAGATGGTTTTCCTCTCTAGAGATAGTCCCCCAGTGTTTTCCAAAACCTGATGTTAAAGCACATGCATATTTGTCATTTGCACGGGGTCTTCACTCTTTGCCCTCAAAACCAGTGCTCTCCACGTGCCCTGTGATGCCATGGGAGGACCCTGGAGGGGGTCGGTTCTTTCCCGCTCACAGCACGTGACTCGAATGGGAGAGAAAAGCCTCTCGGTGCCCCCAAAGGCTCCGGGATATTCAGAAAAATACTCTGGGAAGCCAGCAAGGGTTTCAAGTGACTCTCACCTCACCCACGCCCTGGCCGACCTCTGCCCCCCACTGGGCTGTCCAGAGTCTCCACAGTGGCATTTCTGCTTTTTTTTTTGGCAGAAAGTCCTGGGAACCGAGAGGTCCCTTTCCCTGTGACCTGACCTCCACACTAAGAATAACAGCCCTGGGACAGCATGTCTTGTGATCCATCTGAGAGGGGGCACAGCTAGGAAGGGGGGTGGGGGTGGAGTGGTCAGGGAGCTGGAGAGAGTCGGGAAGAAATGGGAGAGCACAGCCTCCTGGGACTCAGAAATAGAGAGCGAGAGTTGGCCGCCCCAGGAGGGCCAGGGAGAGGGACCGGGGAGACTCTAAGAGGCCAGCCCGATGCTTTCTTACCTCCTCACCAACCTCAGAAGTGCATCTCCTGGAAGCCCCACCTCGTGGATCAGAGGCTGGGGCATCCCTTGAAGAACCAAAGGGGCAGATGTCCTTTCTTACAGAAAGACAGATGCCCTCGGTGCTGGGCCCTCCCCACTCCACCCCTGGGGAGGACAGCTGTGTGGTTCCCGGGGCTCCTGAACATCCGTGTGTCACAGAGCATTGCTCCCTTTCCCCTGCACTCTGAGAGGCAGTGGTCCAGACCTAAGAACCCGCCCTCTCTTTGCAGAGAGCCTGCCCACCCAGGACTCCAAGAACCCTCACAGGAACGGGACAGCCCTTGGTTGACCAGTTGTCCACGAACTTTGAAAAAAGTCTTTGAAAAACATTCCTCCATTCCCTTCCCCAAATATGGTGTAAAACAAACAAAATCCATGTGTGCAGGACAAAGGAATGGAGTCAGCATCCTGATCACTCCCCCTAGACACGACAGCCCCCAGACCCCCACCCAGCCTGCAGGAAAGGCTGTGAGAACCTCATTCTCACGGGGGCCGCTTCAGCAGGATCCTGAGTCAGAACGATGGTGCTGAGCATGGCGGTGCTTCAGAGACACCCCTGCCCCGAGAGCCGGTCTAGGGTCACCTCCCACATTACCAAACCTTGGGACTGACCTGGCCTCCGTCCCCTTTCAGGGAGGAAAGCCTCTGTCCAGGGCTGGATGCCCGTCCAGGGCTGCCACGAGGGTGACCTTGTAGATGCTGCTCTGATGCCATGGTCCCCTCACTATCACGAGCGTCACACGGCTCACCCCTGAGCCCAGAGGGCCTGGCTGTGCCTGGACCACACCCATGGCCGCTTGCTAATTCCCAGACCACCTCGCGAGGGCCCCCGCCCCTGTTCCCTCCCTCCCTCCCTGCAGGCAGGCCTCCTAGGAGGCGCTGGAGGCCTGGGAGGGGCTGGGGGGCAGCGACGGTGCGGCCCGACGGCGGTTCTCTGTTCTTGTCTGTCTGACCTTCCTTTTCACTCCCGTCCTGCCGCCCCGTGTAGGGCTACTTTAGTGACCCCTGGAATGTCTTTGACTGCCTCATCGTAATTGGCAGCGTAATTGACGTCATTCTCAGTGAGACGAATGTGAGTATGCTTCTGCCCAGGACGCCTCTGTGTCCCTCCCTCTTCACCTCCTCCGGTTTATTGTTTGGTTTTCCTGTTTTACCCCCGCCAGTCATGCTTTCTCTTGCACCTGCCGCCGTCCTGGGGGACGTGAGCCCCCGCACTGTCCCCACTCTGCCGGGCCGGACAAGGGGCGGCCGGCCGGGGCTTCTCCTCCTCCAGGACCCCCGCCCGGCCCCGCCACCCCGACTAACCCGGCTTTTGTCAGGCTCGGCGAGCACCGGGTACCAGGTGTGCACCTCCAGAACTGTGGAGTGGTAAGAGGGTCCAGTATGCCCACATAACCTCTTTCTTTTCTCATTTTTTTCCTCTTCTCTCCTTTCTTTCATGCTTTTTTTTTTCATTTTCCTCTTTCTTTTGTTTTGTTTTTCTTTGTTGTTGGTTTTTCCTCCTCTCTCCCTCCCTTGGCCCCTCTGCCCCATGCAGCACTATTTCTGTGATGCATGGAACACATTTGACGCCTTGATTGTTGTTGGTAGCATTGTTGACATAGCCATCACCGAGGTAAACGTAAGTACCGGCGTCCCGCCCTGCGACGCCGCTCCTGCCCCGCGCTCACCCCATTGCTCTCTCCTTGCCGCTTCCTCCCAACTCCTTATTCCCACTAAGTTATTCTGGTTTGTTTGTTTAAATTGGTTGAAAGGATTTTCTTTCTCGTTGCTTTACTTCGAAATGTTTTTATTCTTTTTTCTTTAACGTTTGGAACGAGCTAGGCCCCCTTTCCTTCTGAGTTTTGATCGCTGCATCCTTTCCTTCCCCCTTTGCAATTGGCCTAGCATGACACACACTGTCTAGGAGGATGCAGCCCTGGGATCCCAGAGTGAGACGGTGGAAGGGTGTTTACAACCGCTGGGCAGCTGCCAGTGCGGCCCCTTCCCATTCCCAGCATCCGGGAAACGAGCTCTCCCGAGGACCACAGGTGAAGGCTCGCACTTGGCCAGCACTGTCAGCCCATCGTATCCACGCTAAAACAGCCCCTCCACTGAGAGGTGGGGGAGAACAGCCCGCACCCCTCTTTTCTGGAGAGGGCTCCTCCGCCCCCGCCCCTGCAACTTGCTGTGGGAGCACCTGGCCCCAGGTGAACCTGCCCCAGAGGACCAGCCTTGCCCCTGCCTGGTTCTCCCCTCACCACCACCACCCCGGCTCCAAGACCTCCTGCACCTGCCCCCGGGAGCTGCCCCTCCTAGACAGTCCCTCTAGCCCCTGCACACGTCCCTCTGCTCCCCAGCATGTTCAATCTTCTCTCGTTATCTATAGGCAAGCCCTCTTGCGGTTGGTTTTTAACATGTGTGGTTTAGTTTTTCGTCAGGATTTTTCCTTGGTTAAGAGACTTGGTAATGTTTGCACAAATGTTGATGCACTGAACCATTGAATAACAGCACGGAGCAGATGCTCTAGAGTTCTGATCTAAGGTGTCAGAAGCACCCCACGACTGCCACCGTCCCCCGCCCTTGTCCTTACCTGCCCCCTCCACCCCATAGTCGGCTGCCAGTCGGTTGAACTGATGTTATTATATGTCCTGCTTCCGCTGATCAGAAGTCCTGTCTGCCCCCTTCGAGCGGGTGGACGTTGGGAGGAGGCTGTTCTTCTTTCCCTGTGTCCCCCCGTCAAGCTGGCCCCCTCCCTGCTCGCCCCGTAGCATAGATTCGATTGCCCCTCTGTCTCGGGGATCCCCCAGGGTCATCTTTGTCTTGCGGGGTGTCTGTGTGTGTGTGTGTGTGTGTGTGTGTGTACGTGTGTACACTCCCTTGACCTCTGCCATTGACTCATTGGAACACAAGGAAACCAAGCTCCCCACTCAGACTCCATGCCTCCTCTCCCTTGGCACTGCCCCCCCAAGTGGCTGGATGGACCCCAAGTTCTATCCCAGGAGCTGTCACATCCCTACCTACAAGTATCCACCGGCCAGGGCCTGTGCTCGGACCGAGGGGCCCTCGGGGGAGACCAGGGAAGGGCAGAATGAGCCTGCGTCTGGAGGGTGGGTCCCTGTGGGGAACCATGCCAGGGGACTTGGGGCCGATGGCAGGGACCCACAGGAGGGTGACAGCAGGCAGCTCCCTGGGTGCAGAGGACCCACCTCAGTCCCAGGGTCCTCTGGGGTGCTCACTGTTGGCCAGGTCCACGCCATCGCTCAGCCGGCCGTTTTCTTTCAAATCACTGCTATTTTTAAAGAAAAACAAAGACGAAGGAAAAACATTCTAGAGTATAAAATTTCTACGCCAGAAAGTGACTGTTGGAATTGGGGGTGGTGCAAGACCCCAGGAACGGCACGTGGAGTCACATACAGACCCTCCATTTGTACAACAGTTTCCATTTACAATTCGCCTCGGCGCCCAGCTTGTGTGCGGTGAGCCTGAGCTTGACAGACGCGAATGACCATCCCCGTTTGCCGATGCACAGGTGAGGATGGAGCGTGCCAGTGCCTTTGCTGCCCCTCGGCTGGATCCCAGGCCTCCCGGGGCGGGGGACCAGCATTCTTGTCTGTTCAGTCCATGATGCCTTCTGATGAACACGTACATCTCACAGCCTCTTCTCGCAGACTCCTGCCGGCCAGGATTTGTTCAGCCCTTACGTTCCATAGTCTGTATCTTTAAATAACCACAGGAGGTTTTTTATTTTCTAAACGAGAAGTTATCGGCCCGTCCCCGCTTCCAGTTGGGAAGCCCCTCCAATTCCTCCCAGTATCCTTCGCCCACATGGAGATGCTCTTCACTCTCCAGATTGAGGAGTTTGTGAAAAGTCACACGAAGGGTTGTCTGGAGATAAAAACGGGGACAGCGTGTGTGATGCAGAGCAGAGGAGGTGTCCAGAGACCCACCACTCGGCCCCGACTGTTTCCCACCCCCTCCCACACATCCAGAAAGGACACCTGCGTCATCATCCCAGGCAGGGGCTGGAGGAGAAGGCTGGACCAGGGTCAGATCAAGTGCTTGAGTCCTGCTTCTCCCTCCCCCCCAGCCCCCACCGATCCGAGGAACATGACGATTTACGGGGCTGGGTTTTGAAGCTCAACTAAGAGCATCCATTTAAAAACCGGCCGTAAACTGTACGGCACTGTTGGGACTTCCCTGGTGGCGCAGTGGTTGAGAATCCGCCTGCCGATGCAGGGGACACGGGTTCGAGCCCTGGTCCGGGAAGATCCCACATGCCACGGAGCAACTAAGCCCGTGCGCCACAACTACTGAGCCCGCGTGCCACAACTACTGAGCCCGTGTGCCACAACTACTGAAGCCCGTGCACCTAGAGCCCATGCTCCACAACAAGAGAAGCGACTGCAATGAGAAGCCCACGCACAGCAACAAAGAGTAGCTCCCGCTCTCCGCAATTAGAGAAAGCCCGCGTGCAGCAAGAAGACCCAATGCAGACAAAAAAATAAATAAATAAAAATTAAAAAACTGTACAGCACTGTTAAAGGGGAGAGACCGTGGCACCCAAGCAAAGGACGATCTTTCCAACCCCCCTGCTGACACACGAGCCAAGCACAGATGTCACAGCCCTCGTTCCCGGATACACTCGAACTCTTGGTCAATGGGTCCAGCCGGATCAAAGCAAGCTCACTGACCACTGCCCACGACTCAAGCCAAGATGGGCCTGTCCCACAAGCACGGACATGGCCCTGCACCCCGACGGTAGCCAGGATTGTGGGACAAGTTATAGGGACAACAACGCTTCTTCTCAGAGGCAGGACCCTCCACCGTATGGTTCTGCCTTCCGGCCATAGGCAGGTTATGGGTCTGGACGCTCACTGGGCCAAGAGTTCAGCTCCAGGCCTCCCCGAATTTTCTAGTCTTACTGTTGTCACAAGACCTCCTTTTGCAGACAAACGTTCCATTCCAGTGTCAGAGGGATCCCTGAGGCTCTCCACCTGTAACTCGTCATCTTTGACAATTAACCTACAGAGACCAGCTCTTGTTTCCCTCCCCAACTGCTGTGTGCATCCCAGCCGCCCTCCAAATATTCCCCACGTTCAGAGTCATCTCCCCTCAAACAGCTCCGTCTTCCTGCCTCTGCTAGGCTCTGGTGCCCTGCCTTGGGAAGTGGATTCCCCAGCGACCCCAGTAACAACTGTCCCTTCCTTCCACCGTGGCTGGAGCCTCCCCTTCTGGTGCCGGGCACCTGGGATCCATTATGGACCAAACAAAAGCCCGTCCTTGGGAGCTGGTGTCCTAAGGCTGGGAGATGATCGGACACAGAAAATAAGGAAATGGTGCAGTACGTGGAGAGCCGAGAAGTGCCAAGGGAGGGGGTCGGAGGAGCAGGGAGCCGTGGAGGCTGGTGCCGTTCTCTGTAAGACGAGCTGTACTGAGGAGGGGAATTTGAAGAAAGCGAAGACCTGAGGGAAGTGAGGCGATGCCTTTGCGGATCCCGGGAGAGGAGCTTTCGGGCAGGACACGCAGGGTGCGGTGGTCAGGGAGGAGAGCAGCTTTGGGCCTTCGCCTGAGTGGGAGGCGGAGACTCGGGCACCTTTGAGAAGAGGTGTCCATGGTCCGGGGACCCCCGCGGGAGTCAAGGGCAAAGCCCTCCACCATTTGGAAGGTGGACGCAGCCATCCAGGTGGGAGGGGACGGAGTTGCAGCAGACGTGGTGAAAACGGTCAGATTCTCAGTGTGCTCTGCGAGCAGGACCCACGGCCTCTCCTGACGGCCTGGATGTGGGCGCCAGAGGAGGAGGGCTCCCAGGGAGCCGTGGGGTCCCGGCCAAGCCGGGGAGGATGGAGCCGGCGTCGGCAGGAGGGTGGGAGGCGAGGCCCGTTTGCACGAAGAGGACGAGGCTCGGGGGGGTGGGGGGCTGTGTACTCGACTGCCCAGCGGTGATGTCAGGTGGACAACAGACGCCCGGTCTGCGGTCAGACATGGAATCAGCAGCACAGCGACGGTATTCCAGGCCGGGACAGGTGAACAGCTGAGGGAAGAGGAGAAATGGGGGGCTGAGCTGGGGCCTCCGTGCTCGGGGCCACCTTGACCTCCGGCTCACTCTGGGAGATGCCCTTGGACCCTCCGAGGTGGCCGGGGGAGACCCGGGGCTCCGCAGTCACGCTGGATCCTGCGTCCGTGGCCACGGCCCAGCCACCCCATCCCCTCTGGACGCGCTACCTTCTCCTCCGTCTGTGCAGTCAGCGTCATGTCCCCTAGGAAGCTCCCTGCTTCTCCTTTATCCCTTGAGTTGGAAATTCTGTTTTCCAGAAGGAAAACCTAGTGACGTAACCCTGTGATGTCAGTGGAAGCTCCTGGGGTGTCAGAAGTGGCCCCTGGCAGCCCCCAGTTACCCCTCCCCACCCCTGCACGACAGGGAGTGCTGGGACGCCCGGAGCCCTCATCACGGACACACGTGTCCCCAGTCGCGGACGAGGCGGCCACGGGACTGACAGCAGTGACCCGCCTTGGGGCTGGCCGTCCTTGAATGCAGCGGCGGGGGCCTGAGGTGGGCCAGAGTGCCCCCCACCGGCTCTGCACTGGACGCCTTCTGACAGTGACGCCCTCGCCGCCTGGCAGGCCCACGTGTGGACCACC